CCCCTCTCTCCCTATTTATTTCAGAACCCCCTTCCCCTTCCCCATTTCTGAAGAAGAATCTAGGCCCGAAACGTCAGCTTTCCTGCTCCTCTGATGCTGCTTGGCCTGAAGGGATGTGGGTGTTGTTGGCTGGGTCAACATTTCTTGCCCATCCCAAGTTGCCCTTGGAAAGGCAGTGGTCAGCTGCCTTCTTGAACCAGTGCAGGCCCTTTGGCGTAGGTAAACCCTGACGCATACCAATTCTACCCTTTTGTGATCCGAAAGAGCATATTTTGTCAAAGTTTCTCATCTTAGCACTGAAGGGATGTTGCCCTCAAGCCAAAAAGGCGATATCCCCATCGTGTGGGTAATGTGCTCAATTAATTTCAGTGCCAATGTGATGTTGGCTATGTAAACTGCTTGTCCCTAAGGATGGCGGATTGTATCAAACAACATATCCCTTCAGTTTTCATAAAAAGCAAAGTACTGACTCGGTGCATGCTTGTACATCTTGTACTGCACTAACATTTAGATGTGGTTCTGCAATTGTACAACGTTTACGGGATAATCCTGAGTGTGCAAAGAATGACACTGACAACCTGCCTCATATGAAGTCTAATTTTTAAAAAAAATCCTGATGGTTAACTGTCAATCATTATTCACTGCTGTGTTCTCATGACAATGTTTCTACCAGTTGTAGTTTACTTGCCAACCCATCAGCATTCTTTATTGGTTTTTCTTGTGAGCAGTCCTGATGAGTCCAAGATGAAAATTTTTCAGAAGATGTTTTGTTTCAGCAATGCTCAAGTTCTGTATGACCGAACTGATTTCTTACTGCATGTTTTAGCGATATTAGGATGAATGTGAACTACAGATTAGTTCTGGCGTAGTTTATATTTTCTGACCAACCAGAAATGACATTGAAAAACTGGTCCTACAGTTTTCTTTGGAATATACAAATAAGTCTGATCTGGCCCCTGGTTTGGGAGCTGAACTGTCAAGCAGTGAGACTGAAGAGAGAATACCCTCTGGATTCTGTCTATTTACAAATCTGAGATGAAATTGGCTGTAGATTCTGCAGCCTGTCTACAGGGATTTTACATTGTTACCATGCTGCATTTGTGCAGATAGTCCATTCTTGACTCAAAGCCACTTAATTCAAAGCATTAGAGAGTGAAATGTGAGCTGACAGTGCTGGTCTCAATTTATCTGCCAATTCTGGTTGGCACTATGCCTTAGAATTTCTATTCAGTCACTTATCTTCAGTTTAACAGGAACCTGTAACACTCCCTATGGGACCTGGCACAAAGTGTGTATTTAAAACCTGAGAGCCAAATAAAGAAAAAATACAGATAATTTGGATTTTGTTTTGACTGTTGGTGGGAATGATGTTTTTAAAAGAAAATATTACAGCTAGTTTTCTATGGAGCCCAAAGCATTTGACATCAGGACAGAGGCTGTGCCTTTTTCTATCAGATCATGTTTATTTGCTTCACTGTATGCAGTCATTTACTTTGTCACAAATGCTATGCATATTCAGATACAGAGCCTTGAGTTTCGTCGTTTTGTTATCTCTTGAAACAACTAGTCCAGACTGCTGGCATAGTCTTAAGTTTGTTCTGTCTGTCCCTTCCTGTCATTTCACATCCCAAAATTAGTACATTGCTTTTCTGCCTTTTATTCTGCCTCTTGATTTCCTACAAGGAGCACGGTGGCTCATTAGTTAGCACTGCTGCCTCACAGTGCCAGGGACCTGCGTTTGATTCCATCCTTGGGCGACTGTCTGTGTGGAGTGTACACATTCTGCCCGTGTCTGCGTGGATTTCCTCCCAAGGTCTAGTGATGTGCAGGCTGGGGGGACTGGCGGTGGGAAATGCAGGGTTACAGGGTAGGGGGATGCGTCTGGGTAGGATGCCCTTCGGAGGGTGGGTGTGGACTCGATAGGCTGAATGGCCTGCTTCCACACTGTAGGGATTCTATAATCTACCTAAGTTTGAGTCTTTCCCTCATTTTGTCTAAAACCGTCTCGATTTCCCTGGATATATGGTTGGCTAGAAAACCAGTTCCAGCAAGCTTCAGGTGCAGAACATGAACCAGTTTGCGTTCATCATCTTGAGTGATTGAACAGGCTTCAAGGGCTGAGTGACCTCTTTCTGGTCCTAATGTTATTGTACATCTGGCCCAAGTACTGTCTTGAGTAGCTGGTGACCAAGATTTGATTAATTTGTGATTCTTTACTCTGCGGTTCGAATTTCATTGGCCTATGGGCCTGAGAAGGTCTTTTCTTTTGAAGTTGGCTATAAATTGGCTGGTACAACCTGTGGCGAAGGTCACTTAGCTCCTTATGTACTGGAGCGACAGTTGGCACTGGTCTACAAGTGGAAACATGCATGTCACCTCTGGATATAATCATGTAGAGCTTTATTTGTACCAGATTATCCCTTGGCAATGCAGAACCTAACCATTAACATATTTTAGTGAAGCTTTTCATCTCTTCAAGTCAGATACAAGAATACCAAATTTCAAAGGTCCACAACAGTTTACACCACAGATGCTGATTATTTGGCATGTTGGGTCTGGCCGAGCGGTTACCACGGAGAAAGCAAACCGGGACCTGTGGGCTCCTGGGTCAATGTGAAAAGGTGCTAGGCCTGAGCAAGTTCCTTTTGTTTGCAGAGGTGTAACTCTCCAAATATATGTTCTGGCACTGGGCTTCCCAAACATGTTCCCTGTGGGTGGGACTCCATTTCCAGCCCGGAAGATTTCTATGGCGGTACGGTGGCTCAGCGGTTAGCACTGCTGCTTCATCGCACCAGAGACACGGATTCAATTCCAGCCTCGGGTGACTATCTGTGTGGAGTTTGCACATTCTCCCTGCGTCTGCGTGTGTTTCCTCCGGGTGCTCCGGTTTCTTCCCACAGTCCAAAGATGTGCAAGTTAGGGTGGATTGGCCATGCTAAATTGCCTATAGTGTCCAGGGATGTGCAGGCTAGGTGGGTTAGCCATGGAAAATGCAGGGTTACAGGCGTGGGTGGGTATGGGTGGGATGCTCTTTGGAGGGTTGATGTGGACTTGATGGGCCAAATGGCCTGCTTCCACGCTGTAGGGATTCTAGGATTCATCCAACTCCCCTGAATAAAATTACAGCTGGTATCCTTATCTCACTGGGCTAGCATACCAGAGCCACAAGCCAATGTTCTGGGGACATGGGTTCGAATCCCACCGTGGCAGATGGTGAAATTTGAATCGAGTAAAATCGGAAATAAGGATGGTGATACTGTCAACTGTAATGCAAATAAAAAGTTCCTTTCAGGGAAGGAAATCTGCCGTCCTTAAATGAACACTCCTAGACCCACAGCAATGTGGTTGACACTTAACTGCCCCCTGGGCAATTAAGGATAGGCAATACATAATGGCCCAGCCAGTAATGCCCTCATCCTGTGAATGATTATTTTTTTAATAAAAAGGTCTTCAAAGGAAGCTGCTGTAGATGCAGTTTGGAAGGACGTGTAAATGAGAGGAACAAGGTAAACAGAAGTTGATCAGGCAACTATGTAGAGTGGTACTTG